CCCGGATTTGTCCTAGTTTAGAGGGCATCGGGGGGGGGCTTCATTTGTAGTCCTGGTTTAAAAATTTAAAGTCTTGGGCCCCCCGCCACACACGTAAAAGAAATCTAACTGATTATTAAAACAATTTGTAACAAATTGTAATAAGATTCTGTTTTGTTAGGTACATTTAAAATGATGATAAAAAATGACTAAATTTAATTTTATGATCTGAAAATCAATAAAAAGGTGATTTATGACATTTTCAACTGTTTTTTATTACACTGACTATGTTTAGGTCCGGGTTCTGAACTCTAAAATCCGGGGTTTTCACGCGTCTTGTCCTAGTTTCCAAATTTTAGAGATGGCAACCCTATTTTCAAACAACGTTAATGCCTCCGCCACCCTCATCCAATTAAAAATGATTATGTTGTACTAAAGAATCACATTAAGTAAGTAGGTAGGTATGTAGGCACTATGGTAAGTAAGATAATGCAACACTTTTGTCGTAATTCGTCTACTATATAGCAATGCAAAATATAAAATAGTTTTCATGGTATAAGTTCCTTTGCAAATCAAACCATTCGAAAGGCACATTCGACGGTTATTTTGCCAACGGCACATATTAGTTGCATTCAGGGACGCTAGAGAGCAGTTAAAACTTATATTATAATCCCCAGAATGATAGGTCATAAAACGCGCATTGTGTTGTTGTAAATCACGTTATAGCTGAAGCAGACTTCGCTCGTATTTCATACCTGCATGAATGCTTGATGAAAATTTACTGTCGGTTAATTGGGTATTCCTAAACAAATTCTTAATTAACTTTGTGCAAGCCAGCAGCCGAAGCACCGCCATTGCCTACGCCTATTTTAGATCGAACAAAGACACGCTGTTCACATTTTATGGCACTTTATCTAGGAAAAGTCTTTTCGACTGTAACACCCCACCATTTCCCATAAATTAATTCAACTTTGATGACGAAACATATTTCTATACTCAGAGCTGGACTGGCCCGGGGTGCATTTGCACTCAAAAAATGTGAAAAAAAAAAGAGAAATTAAAAAAACCTTAATAATATTTTTGATAAATTAGCTGAATCGTCTAAGATATTTAAAAATTTATTGTTTGCCTAAAATGTACAAATGATGTAATAAAAAATGTTCGAATAACATTTATATTGAAATTTGTATATAATCTCTCCTTTTATTTAATTATTATTTCCTCAAAAATATATTATATTCGAAAAAATATTAAGATTTTTATCCTTCATTGACATTGAACTGCTGTTCTACGCACATTTACATGTGATAGATATTGTATAATATTTATAATATGATGGAAGCCTTCTTCCTGGCAGTCTGCAATAACGAGTGATCCGATTCTGTCTGTCTGTTATCGTGGTTTTCCAGCAAGGACAGTTCCAAGATAAATTTCCCTCCAAAGAAGATGTTTTATCGCGAAAAAGAACAACTTCAATTGCTGACATGAAAATACAAGAACTTATATAATAAAAGTTGGCCAATAAAATTGCTTTATATGGTTCATAAATTTTTAGTCGTAAAATGCTGAAATGTGCATGGTAGTAGTGCAT